TTGGGATTCCATCATGTTCCTCTGCTCCTCTATTTTTTTTATCTGTGTCCTCTCTAGATTAATCATGTCTTGCACTATAAGCACAATCTTTGCTGTTATCTGAGAAATTATTTGTGATTTCATTTTTTCCAGATCCTCTTTTGTTCCATGTTCAAGGAGTCCAGGTGGTTGAGAATCAGATTCTTCCATCTCGTTTCCCTTTGGGGTTGCTGTGATCTGGAAGTCTGTTTTTGAGGCTTTTTTACATGTCTTCTCATTTCCATGGTGGCAGGGGTGTGCTGCTGGAACCCGCACGGCTCACCTCCTCTGCCCTAGGAGTGGTGGAATGGCAGCAGGGAGCCTCCTCCTGGGCACTGGGATCGGCTCACCTCCTCTTCCGTAGGAGCGAGTGGTGGAATAGCGGCCTCTATTAGGGTATTTATAATTCTTCTCTTTGCTTAATTGGTTTTATCTAAATTGCTTTATAGTTTTGTATTCAAAATCAACTTACAAGTTTATTTACTGTTTTTCCCTCATTCCTACCAAATTTTCTAAGAATAGTATGTTGACTTTTTTCATTTTTTGGTCTGATACACCATCTCATGATGTATTGAGGCTGGCATCGAACTTGCAGTGATCCTCCTGGCTCAGGCTCAGTGCTAGAATTATAGGCATGTGCCACCACACCAGTATGTTGAATGCATTTATTTTTCTATTAGAATGGTTGAGGAAAAGGAAATGAGGAATAAAGACCTAGGTGTCTAAAAACATTCTTCCAGTTTGGCTATCAAGTGAATAGAGAAATGGGTACATAGCAACACCTTTTGCAACACAATAAAGGACGTCATAAAGCAGGGTTTTTAAGAAAAATGCTCCTTAGAATGGATACTTGTGTTCAACTGAAAGTGTTTGAAGTCTTTCTAGGAAAGACAGTAGGGATTACCTTTCTCATCTTCTGATTCTTCACACTGACAGTGTTACAATATTTGTATGCTGATGGTATAAAGGAGAACATTAAATGGTGCAGGAGCCAGGAAAGGGTTAATCCTAGGAGTAAAGCATCTAAGCAGGGAGAATAAGGCAACACTTGTTCTCAATGAGGAATTCTCAGGCAGACAGCTTCCTCTTTACAACAGGAGGCAGAAGGCACAAACTATGGAAACGCACATTTGGTCATTGCTGATGGCTTCTCTCAGGCATCTAGTTATAGATCAAGAATGAACCCAGTTGGTACAACTGCTTTTCTCTGGTAACAATTCATAGTTTGCATGTAACATGGCATAGGCAGTGAAAGAGACAGACGTAACCTTGGCTGACATTCCAGAGAAAACGCGAGAGGCATATATATATGCAATTGTGCCTAAAATTTCAATTTTTAAAAAAAATACATATAGCAGATGAACTTTTTCCAACACATTTTGCAACATACAAGGTGTGACCAAAAATACTGTGAATGTTTAAATTTTTAAAAATTATTAAGGTAAAAAATACATTGGCTTTAATCTCCCTCAAAATATTCCCCTCATTTCACACACCTACTTCATTGCTCTTGCCACTTTCTAAAGCAGTTCCGAAGTTCTTCTTTAGTCTTAGTTGTGCTCTTGTGGCTGCCTCAAAGTACTGAATCCATTCAGAACACTTACTTTTCATGGTCATTCTGACAGTGGGGAAGAGCCAGAAGTTGCATGGTGGCAGATCTGGTGAATAAGCTGGATGAATACACACAATGTTTTTATGTTCCTGCCCTTTCCAATAGATGGCACTTGGCAGCAGCATTGTATTTTTGATCACGCCTCACAGACACTCACATAAAAGAACTTCTAGAACTATTTCAGAAAGTGACAAGAACAGTGGAATATATATATGTGTGGGGCAAGGGGATAAATTTTAGATGAATGCGAAAGTGTTTTACTGTAATCTTTGTAAACATTCACTGTGTATTTTGATCAGATATCCTAATATAAGATAGCATAAGGCACATTTAAAAAAAATCCTCTTTAGAACTGATACTTTTCCCCAACATAAACACAACACTAGAAGCTTTTTATGGCAAGATAGCAGAGATTATCTTTCTCATCTCTTTGCATTATGAATTTCTTCTTGGCTTTTGGGGATTGGACTATCCACCTCTGTTCTGTTAGAAGGCATACTACAATCTCTCAGGGATGCTAGTAATTTTAAGTTTCCAAAATGCATGCTTATAGAAAATTAACATTATAGAAATACATAAAGCAGAGCGTGAAAATTCTCCCTCACAAAGCTACTGTTAACAATTAGGTTTACTTCTGTTATGGTTTAGGGCTTCCATTATTTTACAAAAATCCTTAAACAACTTTTTACATGAGCAAAATTTGGACATCTTTCCCTATTGGTCAATGTTCCTTATTCTTAATGAACATAAAGAAATAAAAAGAAATAAATCGAAGGGCTATAATCTATTAAACTAGTCTTTTATTGACAGAACACTTAGGTCAGCATTATTAAGGAGCAAAAATCCTCTTGCTTGTGTACACTTATCTCATCATTCCTATTTAGTAGACCTAAGTATTCTAGAATTTTCAACAAATCCTGGAAAACTATATTCCTGAAAATTGTAACAATTATACTCCCACATAGTACATGAAGGATGGGATACGTGTAATTTGAATGGTTTGTTCAAAAGCATGCTGCAATTTAACTAGGGAATTTTTAAAAATTGATTTTTCTTATAATTGTGTTGATTACAGGTGAAGTTTGATACCTCTTGACTCATGGGGATTCTGGATCCCAAAGGCAGGATTTATAAAATTCTCATTTATCAGGCAGCATAGGAATTAGGAACCTTTTTTCTTTTTTAATAAAATCAGCCTAAGATTGTGGCACTTGCTACAGCTTTAAATAGCTCTGATGTTACCTCCAGAGTTATTCTCTCCCAAGTTTCTGTATCAGTATTGGTATCCTACTGCTTGTGAGATAAAATCCAAACTCGGAATATGAACTTTCCCCAGCACAAGCCAGCTTCGCTCCCTACTACTCTAGAACACAACACTCCCATCCTTCATGTCCAGTTTCGACCACTTTATGCTTCATCTCAGAATACTCTTTTCCTGGGTCAGAGGTGTAGCTCAGAACCTTTACCCAGCATGCAGGAGACCTGGTTTGGTTCTCAGCATGACAAAAACAAAACAAACAACCCTCTTCCTTCTCTACCCTCTGACTTCCCAGGGACTTCTCAAATGTCTTTTCCCGACGAAATCTTCCACAACCCTCCCCAGAAACAACGGTCTTTCCCTTTGTGCCTCCCAGCATCACACCTGCTCCCCTCTGACAGTGTTTCTATAATAAGCTACCTTAACTAGAAGTCGTGGACAGACACACATCTTACTTCTCTTCCTGAACAGTCTCTAGTGCAGGACTTCACCCAACATGCACTCAAGAACTCTTTCTGGAATAAACATATGTAAGTTAAATTAATCCTTCAAGTTTTTTAATCCCAAATTATCAGTCACAGATATGTTTTTAAAGAATGATAAAAACACCTGTTCCCCTCAAAACATGTCCTAATAATAGTTTTGTGTATTTTTAAAGGGGAATTTTCTAATAAAACTGTCAAAATACTGTCTTTAGAATAGTTCTGTTCAATAAACCTGCATACACTTGACATTTGCATCTTACTTTCTAGGTCACAAATTGTTTATTTTAGAAATAAAAAAACATAGGATTGGGGAGGGACACACGGGACAGTTTACTGTAAAATATGAAGCAGCAATAGTTTTAGAAGTGAGTTTCTCCTTTATATTCCCAGTCAGAGCATAAAATGACTTGGTTCCACCAAAAAAAATTACAAAAAAAAAAAAAAAAAAAGAACCACCACAGAGACAGTGCCACATTAAAATCTCTTTCTCTTGATAATTTCTGGTTTCCAGCTGACTGGATGAGTTTCTTCTGTCTAAAAATAGAAAATCAAATTAAAGTGTTATTAGTTTGCTTCATATTGAATACAATTCCTTTCAACAAAGGTAGTGTTCTAAATCTTATGACTTGGGACTACTGTTAGCAGGTCTTTAATGATTTTAGGAGTGGCTGACAAACTTTTGGCATTATTCACGTCAAACTAAAGATGAATGTGTTCATTACAAGTTCAGTTTATACTTTTTTATCTAAAATAAAATTTCTATTCAGATAATATGCTAGTACCAAAGGCTGATTCTTTATTCATGGTTAAATGTGTATCATTGTCTCAACTGATGGATTCACTGGCATCAGTGAAACCTATACAGAAACCTAGGAGCAGATACTACTCAAGATGACAAATACCTTAATACTACAAATCTACAAATACATCTTCCTTCTGATAACTAAATGAGAAGACCCTTGCTGAACTAGTATGACTGTTATTTTAAGTGAGTGTGGAGACAGTGAACTTACTGCGGTATCATCTTCTCTATACACTTTGATGGTTTTATCTGCTTCAGCTGTTAGTAGTCGACTTTCAGACTGGTCAAAAGCACAAGCAAATATTCCTGATTCACTGTCCAAAGACCCAGGCTGCACAGCTGCATGAACTCTCTGAAAATTGTAGCCAGTTCTCCAATCCCAAAGATGCATGGTGCCATTGTCAGCTGAAAGAGAAGAGTTTCACCTGGTACCCTTCAACAGCTGAGCTAGACAAACATGTGGGTACAAACCATCAGCCTACATACATGTCAATAACTACAGTCATAAAGACAGCTAAGACACAGGCCTCAAGCTCCTCTTAGTATCTGTTTGTCCTGGGTGTGGTGGCGCATGCCTGTGATCCCAGTGCTCATGGGAGGCTGAGGCAGGGAGGATCACAAGTTCAAGGCGAACATGGCCTATACAGCAAGTTCAAGACGAGTTTGGAGCACAAAGAAAGACACTATCTTAAAAAGACCAAAAAAATCAAACAGAAAGAAATATTGGTCCATTTATTTTCATTTGTTCTTATTTCGGGATTTTAAAAGAGCTTTTTTTTGGTATTGGAGATTGAACTCAGGTCCTTGCGCTTGCGCAGCAGGCGGCAAAACCACTGAGCTAAATCCCTGGCCTTTAAAAGAGCTTTTTAAAAAAGCACCACAAAATTTGACTTCCAAATCCAGGCTATCCATCCGAACTGTAGGCAATTCCCAGTACAAACTGCTAACTTAAGATTTATCACATGGGAACTCAAAAGGGGCTAAACTATGAAATATGAACTATGCTATAAGTGTAGCATGTTCTCTGCTAGGGTACTTATGCCTGATGCCTCAGAAGCAGTACAAATGTCTGCTCATTCATACACAAACAAAAACGACAAACTAAACATTTAGCTGCAACTGAAATCTTTCCTTACCTCCAGATACAAGTACTCCATCGGAATTTACTGTCAATGTATTAATGATAGCATTATGACCAGAAAGATTCTGAATGAAACTTCCATCAGGGAATTTCCATTGCTTTATGTTATCAGGAGAACCAGATGCAAATGTGTAACTGAAATAAGATTAAAAAGTTCATGGCAGCATAAATCAAGGTAAATAAAATGGGGAGTTCAAAAAGCTTATTGTTGTATTTTTCATACGTACACAATGCTTTGTGTAGTTTTAGCAAAAATAGTACTATCACACAAGATGCAAAAAAATCAAAACATTTGTTCCAAATTATATCCAACTTTCAAAAATTTTAAAATGTATTTTAAATTCTAGAGTAATGGTTCTAGGTTACTCTTCTTACATTTTCTCAATGGTCTACACTGACTGCATTAAATTTGCAAATACTTAATTTCACACGAACACAAAATATTATGTGATAGTTCTGGAGAAAGGGTGAGAAGGAAACACAGAGGGCAAGAGGAAGAAAGAGAAATGAAATGAAGGAGGAAAAAGAGGAGAGAAAGACGAATGCAACCAGAAAAGTCCCCGGGGTGATAGGACGTGACAAACAGTAGGGGTGATATTATGTTCTGTTCCTTTGGATACATGACTACCATGTTAATGGTTCTTACTCTGTGCATATTAACTTCCCCCTTAAGAATTATTCTATGTATGTTTCAGTGTCCAATATCAATCATGCCCAAAACACCGCCAGACGCTATTACCTTCTATTTTGACATGCAGCTTTTGACCATGATTTACTGTCTTGTTTGTCATTATGTAGAAGACTTACCTCATTTAATACAGGGCAGGAAGCCAAACAGTAATAAAGAAAAAATTACACACATGCATGTCCATACATGTCACAGGCCTGGAAATGGCAGCTAGCTAAATAACTGCCAAATGCAGTACCAATTTGACATTTTAGGACAACATTAAGACATGAAGAAAGAAGAGACGCCAATCAGGAAAACACACTTACTGTCGGGGATGTAAAACCACAGCCCTGACTGACTTTTTATGATTTGTTAGTGTCACTCTTGTTTTTCCAGCCACCAGATCCCATAATCGTATTGTAGTGTCGTGGCTTCCTATAATGAAAGTACACACACATTCCCAAAACACGGATCAGGAAAAAGAATGCAAAAGTGGCACAAAATAAAATTAGAACCATTCTTCCATAAATATATAAAAATACCAAATCAAAATCCTATCATCTCTTGGCTAAATTCTTCGTAATTCCAATATAGATTAATTTTAAATTTAATTCTTTAGAAATTAAAGTGCTTCCCTGTCAACTGAACAGCAAGTATAAATGCAAATAACACAAGCACATGATATTCACCAATGAAAAAGGTGAAATTACAGCAGTTAATTTTTTAAAGTTAAAATACATCAAACAAAATATTTTCTAGTATTAAAGATCTATCATTATAAATAAGATTCACATAAATCCTAAAGGTTATTGGTCTCAGAATATTTTGTCTTCTAATCTCAGTCTCCTAGACTAATAATGGTGACACTGTAATACTTAGTTGTATGTAACAGCAGTGTTCTAGCCATTCATGACAAGATACAGTAGTACCTTGGTTCAGCGAACAACTTGGTTCTGAAACAGAAATGCTAGGCAAAATTTTGTTTTTGTTTGTGAGCTCTGTATCGGGTGACAAATGCAACAGTGGGCATTTTCCCCACAGTTGCGGAACAAATTAAGTTTGTGAACCAAGGTGCCACTGCACTGTGTATGACGGTCTCTATGTAAAAAATACCAAGAGAGGGCCGGAGATTTAGCTCAGTGGTTTCGCCGCCTGCTGTGCAAGTGCAAGGACTCAAGTTCAATCCCTAGTACCAAAAAAAAAAAAAAATACTAAGAGAAAAACAAGTGGATGAAATCTCACAATAGATTTCAAATGCTCTTGATTAAAATACATGACACAGAAGCATTCTAAATACAACAAAAAGCAAGAGCCACAGTGAATATAAAATGTCTACATATGATTATAATCTGATATTAAAGGGCCAGGTTGCAAATTTGAAAAGCATCCATCATACCAGTAATAATTTGCGGTTCCGCAGCTTGACACCTCACTGTAGCAACTGCATTTGTATGTCCAGACAATGTGTGTACACTGGCTTTAGTTCTCACATCCCAAATCTATAAAATACAATAAATATACTGTTATCTCAGGTACATAACTGGATCAATTTAAGGCTGAAAATTTACTAGACAACTGTGCTTGAATCTGGTGAACAAAGTGCTCACAGGAAATATACTGGCCTCTAAGCTGGAAGGGGTTATAGGCAGGAGACAGCTGTCAATAGTGACTAGGGGAGGGCAGCAGGGTACGGAAAGCCTAATGGTACATGGGTATAACAGGACAACTGAATCAAAGACCTCACGGACAACAGTTGTATGACTCTCTAATAGACTGGAACATGAGACTGTCACATTTCAAGGTCAAGACACTAACAACAGCAAGTACAGTGAGGCCACAGAACTAAAGACTATGGTGGAAAAATACACAAGCCAAGAAACTGGGGGAGCAGGGTACTACTGAGTCAGTCAACTATCTTTAATTTCCTACCAATGAATGTATGTCTCCAATTCAAATGTGTATCACAAGCTGCACACAGACACAGCTCTATCACACCGACCTACCCGTGCAGTTGAATCTCGACTACAGGTGACCAGCACATCAATTGTTGGATGCAAATCCAAACCATATACTGCACTTAGATGTCCATGATAGTGCCTTATAACCTTAAGATAAAGCAGAAAAGTTAAAATTTCTAAAACTAGAATGATGAGACAATGGCACCCAATGTAGTAAGTCCTTGAACCCAGGCCTACCTTATTATACTCAAGGTCCCAGCATTTTACTTGTTTGTCTTCTCCACAGGAGAACAGGTATGGGCTCCTGGTGCTCACTATCACGCCCCGCACCGTGCTGATATGCCCAGTTAGTGACAGTTTTAACTTACCACTGGCCAAGTCCCAGATCTGCAGCCAAAGAATAAAAGGCAAAGTCACAATGGGAAAATATTTGCAACAGATGACAAAGTTAGAACTCCTAATCCACCAAGGATATCACTGATAATAGTCTGTATGAATAGTGTCCTTAAAAACCTGAAAATACAGAGTAAAGGTATAAGAAAGTTCAACCTCTCTACAAATTTGACATATGCTTTAAAAAGATTAAATACCCATTTTTGCTTGCCATACCACTAGACATTTTTAAAGGGATATATACATGCTGAAATAGAACCTCTCAAACATACTGCAGTTGTCAATTCTTAACTTTGGAAAGTAACTTACACATTAGATATCAGTCTCACAAATATCTGACCCGACACTTCCATTTCTGGGAGTCTACCCTACAAAAATACACACAGAGCTGCATGCACAAAGACTAATTATGGCATTATGTGTAAAAATGGACAGCATCAAAGTACAACTTCAACGCCCAAAAGTACAACTTCAACAACAGAAAAACAATACAGAACATCTGATTGTGTATTATGTAACCACTTAAAAGGGTATTAAATTTTTCACAAGAATATGCTCTTGATAAAACATTACATTGAAAATAGCAAGATACAAAATTACATATCAAGAGTAATTTTTAAGATACACATAGGGAAAATGCTGAGAAGTAAATGCATTGGTAAATACATACACACAGAAATACTAAAATAAAATTCACCTAAATATCTAACAAAGGTATGACTATGGGTCTAGGTTCTATGACAGTTGTCTATATTCTTCAAATTTTTTTTTTTATATTAATTCTCATTACTTTGTTTTTCAGTACCGGGGATCGAACTTGGGTCCTTGCGCTTTCGAGGCAGGCGGCGGAACCACTGAGCTAAATCCCTGGCTCTATTCTTCAAATTTTCTATAGCTAAAGATGCTTTAATTTCATAAGCAGAGGAGGAAAAAAATCCTTAAGTATCAAGAAATTAGTAGCAGCTAACATGTTTAGAAAAAACCCTATCACTTAAATACTACTTTTCACTAGGACAATAATTTTACTCAAGTAAAAAAACAAAAACAAACCCCAAGGACTTGAAATACCTATTCCTACCATAGGAAACAACTTAAAAAAGATTGCTTAGGTGACAAACGCAAAGTTATATTAATTTTTTTCTTCTTTCCTTATTACCTTTATAGTTCTGTCAGCAGATCCAGTAACGAACCACTGATTTCCTGGTTCCACGGCAATACATCGCACCCAGCCAAGATGCCCACTGATGACCTATGTGAGGAAGAGCAGAGGGTGGGTGCATCCATGCATCAGGTCAAAGGTACTCAAATTTAACTGCAATGTGGCTTTGTACTGCCCTCCCCACTCCTTCAAATCCCAAATTTATAAGATCTGACAACTGGATTCTAGAGAAACATTACCTTCAGGGGTTAACAGACATACAAATGGTAGTACCTCTATAGAATGGAATACTCAGCAGGAAAAAGGAACGCATCACTAACCCAGCAACTTACAGAATCTCAAAAGCTTGAGTAAAGGAAGTCACTCTCAAGAAGCACATATTGTGTACTTTCAAGTGATAAGAGTGACAGAGAGCAGATCAGTAGTTGCCATGGGTGGAGGGTAGAACTAAAAGAATAGCACAGGTGGCTTTCAAGGCGATACACTGATTATGGTAGTGTTACTCCATTTCACATCTATTAAAATGTTAGACCTAAAATGAACCTAGAAAGTCTCTTACCATACAATCATGTGAAAAATAAGCTTCTTAGCTGTACATTTCCTATATTTTCTTATTTTACATTTGACCATTTTGAGTCACTTACATTTACTGAAGTTGAAAGAACTGATAGATTCGAAGTAATTTCTTTATAAGGTGATTTCTCCTTAACTTTCACATTAAATGCTTCACTTTCCTAAATTCACTTCGTCTGCCTACAGTAATCTTCTACTGATGTCTCACTGTAGCTTACAAAGATACCTGTACGGCTTTTAACAGGGAGACCCTTCCTCAGACACTTTCTCACAGTGTGAGAGCCCCGTGTGCCCCACCTCGGCCCATGCTACTGGCTTTCACATCCACTCCTCTCCTCCTTCTTCAGGCCCTGTCAAGTGGAAAGCACTACTTCACACAGCTGGGTAAGATATACACTCACTCACCCTGTAGAGTTTCCATGGTGGGTGCCACTGGGGTTTTGGCATCGTAGGGGCTTTTTTAGCCATCAGTGCAGAGTTCTTGGTACTGACAGTCTCCACAACCATCTCAATGTGAAATATATGATTAATAAAAGACATTTATTACATGACTTATTATATGTCTAAGAAAGGTTTATTTAATGTTTCATGTTATTAATTCAAAAGCTGAAATCAAAATAGAGGACTTATGAAAATTTTTTTCCCCTTAAAGAGGAACAGACAGTTAAAATACTTTTTCACAAGTAGAAAAATGAACCAAAGGCACCTAATTAGAATTTTGTTCTCCTATAAGTTAGTTTTTAAAACCAAGTAAAAAACCTCAGAGAGGCAGAGTATTAGTTAAGAGCAGACATCACAGTGTATAAGTTCAAAACCCAGCTGTGCCAATTCCTAACTAACCAATCTTGGGTAAAACTTCTGTAACCCCTGTGAGTCTCATGTAGAATGTAGAATGGGAAGCAAAAGTGCCTAATCCTAAGATTCCTGTCCATTTTCTCATACAATATTTAAATGTCATTTAAAAAGACACATAACTGATACAGATTGAGCATCCTTAATCTAAAACCCAAAGTCCAAAATACTCCATAATTTGAGTTCAACTGGGATTTCTGAATTTCAGATTAGGAATGCTCACCAGGTGGTTCATGCAAAGATTCCAAAAGCCAAAAACAAATCTGAAACACTTCTGGTCTTATGTACATCAAAAAAGAGATACTCAACAGTAATGTGTAGTTAACATTCATTCATTAATCAAAAAAAAATTTAAGCCCATTAAGTTCTGCCCTCAAGAAGTTCAAATTACACCCTCCTAAGGACAGAGAGATGTCCTCTGAATGGAGAAGCAAAAAAAAAGAAATGTGGCATAAGGATTACAATTTAGTCACTTTATACGTCAAATCAATTCCATAGTGAACAAGGGGGCAAAGCCCACACTTACTTGAAATGACAACATAATAAAACATACGGCACACTGTCAGTTATTCTTTCTACAACTACTTTCAACAGTACTAAGGGCAGCTGCCACTTACTCAAATACACATGTATTTCTCAGTGCTCATTTGAAGACATTGGTTGCACAATCCATGGATGTTATACTAATAACACTCAACTGTAACTACATACCAACTTACAGTTCAACTAAAAGATTTACATAGCTAACATATACTAACATAAGGCTCAGAAACACTCCTTGTAGTTTTAATAATGGAGAGCAAATATCAACATCAGCTTATCTTCATCAAAATATACAGTATGTACAGTGTGCAAGCAGACACAGAAATAACAGGGTTTCATATGCTAAAAAATAAAGTCAATTTACTGAAGACTTAAGATAACAAGCTGCAATTTAACAAATTCCAAGAAGCGATCATTTCTTGAATATTTAAGGTAAAACTTCTGGGATAAAAAGAATGAGGTGTCATATGTGAAAAGGCCATAGGGCTATTAGACCCAAGAAACTTACCGAATTCATCCCTGTAGGCTGTGAGCGTTCAGAAGCCCCTCGGTATTCATTTCCACCAGGTGCAGTACGATTTATATCACTCCTGAGGAAAAAGGAACACCACACAGGAAGTAAATAATGTCGCCAACTATGCATTCTGCAAAGCCTAGCCTTTTAATTTTTGCAAACTCTAATAAAAAAAATACTATGTAATACATAACTGTAAAGAAACAAATTTAAAAATGAAAATAACCATAAGTGGTGAAACATGCTTTCAAGGCCTTTTCAATTTGTTCTATTTCATACCTGGCCTGAGGAGAAGGTAATGCCACTGCTAAGGACTGTGCAGCGGATTCACTTGGGATTCTTTGGACTTTAGTATCAGCTGTCAAAGCCACCCCTATTAAAAATAAAAGCATTCCTATCAGTAGCTATCTTTGCTCTCATTTACATGCATTTAAAATAAAATAGGAAGAGAAAACCCAACAGATGACTATCCCCAGGTAGGGAAGATTACAATAATTATGATTTAAGTTTTGCTTGTTTTTGTTTCTTTCTGTAATAAATACTGCTTGATAATTTGATCGGATTATAGTAGCCCATTTTTAAACTGTCCAAGATAAAGTTCCTATTAAATTCAGATGTATCTTTAAAAGCAAAAATGAAGTAGCTACTCAACTACTAACAGAATGTTTCCAAGAGTGAATGTTACTACAACAAAAAAACCCGGATTTCCCTATACTTTCCATGAATACTAAGCCTTTTGTCCTCTCACCAGCTATACTGGCCACACCATTTCTGTAGCAACCCGTGGATCACACACACATGCACACTTCAACCATACCTGCTTCTAAACTAACACTTCTATCTTTTTCAGTTTAGCCATTTGCATGCCTGCCTTTACTACTAGATAACAAGCTTAACTAGGCCTGGAGCAGCCTGAAAAAAACAGGAGCCAACAAAGCATGATATTTTCAATCCATCACAGCTCACTTACCAGGTCCTGGTGGATATGGATGCGTTCCTGTAACTACATATTCAACTTCTTGTCCTAAAATAGATAAATAAATTGAGAATTTATCTTATAGTCAAGTATCTTTTTAAAGGTATCACATAACATTAATTGCATTTCTCTTTCCCAACTAAATTCAAGCCTCAGCACTGAAGAAAGCGGAGTTGTTTTGGCCTTATAATCTAGGCACACAGCAGCTATTTCTTTGTCCATTAACTGATAAGAGGTGAGAAGCTCATGAATTTACTCCTACACAGCAATAGTGTATAAAGATTTTTCTATCAAGCAACAATCCCCTCTGGTTTTCCTTCTAAGAAAATAGGTCCTATGCAATGTTGCAGTCTCTATTCATTGTAATTGCAGTATTAGTTTTATTTTGTGAATTACAGCCATGATAGGTCTCCCCACAGGTTAGAAATATTCTCTAAAATTTTCCTTTAGTCTCCATTGTGACCTCCACACCCTAATTCTCCCATCATAACACTAATATACTTTATTTCCAATAAGAAAAAAGGCATCAACCAATTACATTACTTCAGTTACTACTCCTATGAGCAAGTCAAGGCTTCCATTATAACACTGGTCTACTCATAAAATACTTTAAGAACTCAATTCGTGTGCTTCCAGGAGGAGGGGCGTTTAATAAGACATTTTGCTTTTCAATTTTAAGAATTTGCATATAAACCCTGGCATTTCTGAGTAGCCCTATACTTACCTTGACTGGCAGGATACTGTTTTTGACCATATGAATCCGGTGCACTCTGAGGGCCCTTCTCTTTAAGATTTTCTTTTGAAGTAGGCATATGCAACACAGGACCATACTCATTATGAAGCTTGATTGCCATTTTTCGTTTGTGACTATTTAAAAATTATAAACATAAGATGTACACTTAAACAGTCTAGGTGTATTCACCAACGCAAATGTTTATAGATAGCCAGGAAACAAGTACTTAAATACCTTAAGTTTTCCCAGTCCTGCAGAAAATGTTTCTAGTAAGATTTTAAAATTAAATAGTATTTTAAGAAATCAAAAATTTCAAGTGCATTTTGACACCATACATATTTTTACTCAAATGCCACCAACACAGTATTCATAACGCCTAATATTTTAGCCTGTTACCTAATATAAAACCGTTCATGATGAGTTCCCAAGGGTTCAACTGATTTAAAGACATAGAAACTAATACATCCCTTTAAAAATCTCAAAATCAATGTATTTTTAAATGTCTACATATAAATATATAGTACAAACTTCTACAGCAACCTTCACCAGATGTATCTAAAAAAATCAGAACTAATGACTTATGTAATTCAATATATTGTAAAAAGAAATGCACTTAAACCACTTTCAAGAATAGTGTACCTTATAAATGAAATACAAATGCTCATTTGTGTAGATTTTTAAAGAAGGGTAAAGGACAAAGAAGGAACACAGCACATAATGCAATCCCAGACTGGAGCTAGATATGTAGAACCAAAAATATGCCACTGCTCAAAAACCTTCATCATATTAATGAGAAAAGATGGGAGCAGAGGTACTGGCCAGGTACAATTTCAGCTCAGCAAGGCTCTGAGAGCAACAGGAAGCTGAAAGCACATACAAAGTGATTGGTTATAAAATAAAATACCTAAAAGGAACCCTCCTAATTACTGGATATTTGTAAAATTCAATTAATTAATGGGATACTGTATTACTTTTCACTCCTTGCTGAGACAAAATACCTGACATCCAAAGTTGAAGGGGAAGGGGTTTATTTGGGTTACAGTTCACAGAGGTTTCAGTCCACAGTTGAGTGGCTCCAAGGCTGGGATGGCAAACAAACATCGGAGAGAAACAACACTACGCACACAAAGCAGTAGGGGTAACAAGAGAGTTTAACAGGATCCTTCTGCCCCTTTTATCTTATTCAGACTACCAGGATTAGGGCAGTGCCAAACTAATCACTCACATGTAGTAGTTTAATAATCATATGCCCTTAAGCCCAGCATCATACATTCCAGATTCAAGTACCTCTGAAAAAGTCCCACCTCATCCGCATGAGGCTTTGGGGGACATCTAAACACAAGCCATAACATTCCGCCCCTGGACCCCCAAAGACGTATGCACATCCCTTTATGCAAAAAAGCATTTAGTCCATCTGGAAGAGTTGCCAAAGTCCTAAGGGTTTCAGCACTGCTGGAAAGTCCAAACCCCAGGTCCTCTGAGATTTAAGGCAAACTCTTAGCTGCGAGCCCTGGTACAAATGAAAAGAAACTCAAACACTTCCAATGTTCAATGGCACAAGATAGACATCTCCATTCCAAAAGGTACAAACAGGAGGATACAAAGGCATGGGACCAAAGTAAGTCCAAAATCCAGCAGGCCAAACATTACATTCCACAGTTCCACTTCCAGCATCCAAGGCAATCTGTGGCAAGCTGTGAACTCCAGAGGGCTTGGATGGCTCCGCCCCTGTGGCACTTTTAGTGATTGTAGCACCAAAGCTTCCTTCTTGGCCTGGCTCTGCTCCTTCCTTGTAGTTTCCCTCAGCTGATCCACGTTCCTGGCTTCTCCAAACTTCTGGGGTCTCCACTGCACCTTCAGCTTCACACTCACAGCTTCACACTCTGCCCTCTCAGGGGCACAGTGCCCGGCCTCCCAGGCCTTCTTCTGAAATCTGGGTGGAAGCCTCCTGAGCCCACAGCTCTTCTATTCGGCATGAGCCTAAAACTCCTGCCATGTGGATGATACCGAGGTCAGCTGCCAGCTGCAGCTGTAGCCAGACTTCCTTCTCTCTTGTCAGTAGGGGTTGAGTGCCTGGATTGATGAGCACTCTGAACCCAATCCTGAGAAACAACTTCTCCAGGCTGCAGCCACTCTGGAATACGGTGCTCTAGGGCTTTCTCCTCAAAGCAAATTCTTTCACCTTTACAACTCTGAGGCTCCAAAGGGTGGGCTCCCGCTGCTTCCTGTGATGCCCTCAGGCCATCTTTTCCATTCTCCTGTTCCTTCTCAGCAATACAGATCTGCTCGGCTCTATCTTTGCAGTCCACAGCTTTGCTGGAGCTTCCTTTCTGGCCAAACTCAAAATGTTTTAAATCATTCTGCTGTGCTTTTTGCTCTGGATTCTTAAAACAGATCTCGATAAAGCCCCCAACAGTAGCCATGCCACCACCTCAATATCCGACTGCCTTGAAACTTCTTCTGCAAGATTAGTTAGTCCGCTGCCCCAATCTCAGTCTCAGGCAAAGTCTCTGGACACCAACAAAATGGAGATGAACTTTCTGCCAAGCCGTAGCATACACTGTCTGGAGTCCAACAGCCAATTCAGTCCTTTCTAGCAGACATTTCCTGACCCTGGACTTTACCAGCTTTCTGGTCTTCTGAGCTCTGACCAGAAACTCCCATACATAATAGCCTAAGGCGTTCCAGTGCTGCTTCCATAGCCAACATCTCTGAATATTTCCTAACTCTTCCCCTTCCCACATGCCAGTTCCAAAGGCTTTTGAGCCACAAGGCCAGGTAATGTCACAGCAACAACCCCACTTCTTTGGTAGCAAATTTCTGTTTCAGTTACTTTTCTTTTGTTGCTGAGACAAAATACCAGACATCAATTTGCAGGTTTCAGTCCATAATCGGCTGGCTTCAAGGCTGGGACAGCAAACAAGCATCGGAGGGGAGAAACAATATGACGCGCACAAAGCAGTAAGGGTAACAAGAGAGTTAAACAGCATCCTTCTGCCCCTTTTATCTTATTCAGACTACCAGGATTAGGGCAGTGCCAAACGAATCACTCATGTGTAGTGGTTTAGTAAGCACACACCCTTAAGCCCAGCATCATACATTCCAGATTCAGCCACCTCTGAAAAAGAAAGTCCCACCTCATCCACATGAGGCTTTGGGGGGACATCTAAACACAAACCCTAACAGACACTTCACTGTAAAAGATAAGACAAAAAAAGGTTAAATCAGTTTAAATTATGACAGAACACCACTCATTATTGAATAAGCAACCTCTATGCATTATTTTGAAGACCTTTAAAGATTTTCCTCTTTCTGATCTCTTCCCTCAATATCAGAACTTTATTAAATTTAGCAGCTAAAAAAGAACTATACCTACCTCTCTTCATCCAAAGGCACAGGTTTTCCATTATCAGCTACAAACATATCATGAGTCCTTTTCAATGACCTGAACACAAGTGTGTGTACAGAATGTTTCTGTACCTCCTAAAAGGAAAGAATGCAATTACACATTTAGCTACAAATTACCCACATCACAACCTAAATGAGTCAAATCTACGATACACTTTCCATATTTAAGTATGTAAAAAGCTTCATACCATCCACCACAGTTACTTGTAGCAAGCTACAGGAGTTAAATTCAGAGGAGAGCTGAAAGCTCTTCTTTCCTCAGAGCCCTAGGTATAGCAAGTGAATAATGGCTGAGGTTAGTCATTTATTCAGCAAATACGGAGCTCGTACTATGTGAGTGGCAGGTATTGTGCTAGATGCTAACAACAGATGATGAAAAGACAACCATGGTCCTTGTGCTCTAGGGACAACAAATAAGCAAAATAACACTACAGTTTGCTATGAAAACAAGCGTGAAGAAAGAGCTAGAATTATGAAAGGTCATTCTGAGGTGATATTTACGCAGGAAAGGAGAAACCCTGGCACGGAACAGAGATAAGAACCCAGAAGCCCTTTGAGAAGGTGACGAGTAACTGAAAGAACGCCAGAAATGCAGTACAGCTGTGAGGGCTGGGAGCGATGAGCTGTAGTTTGATGATGGGACCGCAAGGGCAGACGAGGTTCAGACATACCATGGTCTTTCTGGCCGTTACGACAGCTTATATTTTTGTTCTGGTAACAGGGCCAGTAGAGGGTTTTAAGCAAGAAAAGCCAAGTTACGTTTTGAATAGCACAAGTTACAGGAAAACAAAAACGGAAGCAAAGCGACCATCTAGAAGCCAATGCAGCAGTGCAAGGAAAAGGTGATGCTGGACTGCAAGCAGGGGGCTGTGGAGCGTGTGGAGCAGTGGGGTGGAACCAGGAAATGTCTGGGATGCGACGAAGCGGGCTGCTAACAGAGTGGTTGCTCAGGTTAGGGAGAGATGTAAAAACTCAACACAGGGGCTCTCCTGGGCCGCAGCGGAAAGCGCTGGCCTTCGGGGACACAGCCGAGGCAGGATCTCGGCCGCCGCGAGGGCCGGGCTCCACCAGCAGCAGAAGCGCCGCCTCCCACGCCAGGGCCCGGCTCCCCGGGGCTTCCCGCCTGGACGACCCTCCGACTCGCGCTCTCCTCCCCGCAGACCTCACGAAGCGACCAGCCGGCAGGGCCGAACAGCACGGCTCGCAGTCTCTGCTCTCCCCAGACGTCCAGCACTCCCATCCCCCACGGCCGCTGCCAAGGAAAAGCAGCACACAGACGACTCCTGGGCACCCAATGTCACTGTACCTCAACCATGACGACGCCGTGTATTCCACCCCTCAGGCGGCGGAGAAACACTAGTCACGGCGGAGAACCCGCCGCCGCCGTCGCCGCCACTAGGAAGCCCCTTCCGGAATCGGTGCCCGGCCACCGGAAGTGACGCGCTCGGCGCAAGCGCACTGGCCGCCTGGGCCTTCTGGTGGTGGTGGGCGGGCCTCCCTCCTGGGGCCGCCTCATTGGCGGGCTCTTCTGACGGGTCAGCAGCGCTTTCTGCTTGACTACCAGCCTTTCCTTTCCTGGTCTGGGGTCTTGGTCGTTTGTGCTGTGTCCCCCGGGTGCGTGGTGCTCAGGCAGCCCTGCGGCGGGTGTGGAGCGCCGGCCCTGCAGCCCCGCGGTCTCGGCTTCTTGGCCTCGGTCCCACGCTGGGTCTGCAGCACGTAGGGTTGCTGTAGTCTTGGCGCCCAAAGCTCTCCCAGTGCAGCCCTGTAGACACTTCGTGAGTAATTTCGGTTGGAGAAATTCTGACACGTGGGTGAGCGGTAGTAACTGGTTTAATAGGTTCCGTGAGGAATGGGAAAACAACTTCCGCAGCAGGTGGCGCTGTGACATCAGCCATCACAGAGGCTGGCTTTCCAGGCTAGGGCTGCGGAGTACTGCATTTCTGTGCCCTTGGCTGGGGCTCTCGCCCTAGTCAGTCCTGAAAGGATGCGCTGCGTAGTCTGTTCACGCTGCGATCCCGCAGATTACACCACGCAGCGTAGGGTATCCGGCTGCACTGGGAGATGCGTTTCACAGAACGTACTTACTGGACAGTCTGTCCCCCATCTGGTGCCACAAAATATGAAATAAGTAAAATTATTACCACTCGTTTTGTATTATCAGGTGAACGACCTGATAGCGAAGACTTTGTCTGAAATTTTTTTTTTTTATTGTCTGTTGTTCGTATTCATGTCTAACTTTTATCCTCAGGCTTCTTTATTTTCACATGGTGTTTTCTCCTTGGAAACTCCTTGACTCCATTGATTCACCATTAGTTCTGCAAACCAAACTCTGTCACCAGCATTCCCACGCAACAGCCTCACACTTAAGCTGTCAGAAATTGGACTCATCATTTTCTCTTCACCCAAAACAACTTACCCTCTCATTTCCTGATTAATGTTAGTGATCTCCCCATCTTTCCTGTTCCTCAGAATTATCTTCAACTCTTTGCTTCCCTCCACTATCTCACAATTCACTCTTTCCCTAAGTCCTTCCTATGTTATTTCTGTCAAGGGCTTGAATCTCTTCAAACTATTTCTCGGGCACCTACTATGTGCGGGACCTTGTAGGATGCAGGAGACGTGGTGGTTTGGTACGCGTCAGTGGTTTCATCCTTTTGGCAAGTGTGACTCCTCCCAGGTGCTGAGTGAGCAGGCAGTTCTGCCTCACCGCACATGGTGATTACCTGGGACGTTTTGGAGAAAAGTATGGGTCCCGGGCTTCTCTCACAGCTTCTCTGATTCAGTAGCTCTGCAGAGGGGCTGAGGACAATGGGTGTTTTTGTTTCTTATTTTGTTTGTTTCTTTGTTTATTGTACTGAGGGCTGAACCAACGATCTTCACACTCAACTACATACTTGGCCCTCTTAAAATTTTTAAGATAGTCCTTCTAAGTTGCTCTGGCTGGCCTTGAACTTGGGATCCACCTGCCTCAACCTCTCAAAGTGCTGGTATACAGGCATGTGCCACCTCAACCGGCTGATGCTGTGTGTGTGTGTTAACAACGTAAGTAAAGAACATTTTAAGAAATACTCATGTTCAAGAAACGCTAAGTCCTTAATATAAAAACTGAAATACTGTCTTTACACTATTACATTGCTTTAATTAGTCTTAAATTAGCCACTCAATTTGTATTTGATGTCATAATTCTCTCCCTAGAGCTGACTGTCCTTAGATACTGTCTTTGATTTCTGGTTTATCTCATTTAAATTCAGACTTGGCAGAAGTGATGGACGAGAAGCAGGGAGGAACTCCTGGGATGGATGAAGGGGTCTCACAGTCGCCCTCGGAGGGGGTGGCCAGGCAAGTGCCGCTCCAGTCCCTCACAGTGGAGAGCTGGAGCAGCCTCAGGTCCAGTGGAGATCCCATCGAGCAGTGGGAGGGGTGAGCTGGGCATACCAGAACCTGCAACATGTTCTGTTGATGTCCATTTGCTGACTTGGGCCAAAGCGAGGGAGCTGGGCAGAAGCACAGGAACAAGGCAGGCGCGGTGAGGGAAAGGGGCAGGTGAAGGCCACCTGGCTTTCTTCTGATCTGCTCCAGCCCTAGTCCCTTGTGTTCTAGGCCATCTTCTCGTGTTGCTGCAAACGCCTGACAGAGCTCCAAAGCAAAATGCTGTGACCACCTTCCTTTCCCCGTGTCCTAGAATTATCCTTTCCCTTTGTTAAGGGTGTATGGTTTGCTCAGGGCCTGCCCATGCTGGGTAAGCAGGAGCAGCTCAGAGGCCCATGGGTGGCCTTCTGTCCTTGGCCTTGCACAGAGAAATCAGGGAAGGAAGGACCAGTGGCTCCCAGAAATTTTCCTAGTGTTGTGGCTTTCTAAGACTAGCCCAGCTTATTTTATGGATGCCACTCAAACACAGGGTTATTTAAAAATATTACATAGAGGCTGGGGATTTAGCGCAGTGGTTTTGCTGCCTGCTTCGCAAGCACAAGGACCCGAGTTCGATCCCCCGGTACCAAAAAACAAAAGAATAAGTTTCTTGTTTCCACATTCAAGACCCTTTTAATCCAAAATACATGGAGACATGCTTTCAAGAGCCAGTGTCTCCTGTCTCTATGACACATCCATAGGGAGGAATCTTTACCCAAATATTAACATGAAGGAAGTGAAAAAATACTTTAGAAAAATTTTAGAAACCAGAAAATGAAATAAGGGCAATCTTAATATCATAATGATACCTGGCATTTTTATAATGTCTCCATTAAGATTGTGAAAGATCAGACTCAGGGAGAACAGTTGATTTATTGAAATAAATTTAAAACAATCATTAGATGTGTCTCAGCCTACAACAAGCCAATTTATGTGGAGATGAGCTCAGGGAAGGCACTGAGAGTGCCAGGATGTGGCTATGGGTGGATTCAGTGTTAAAATCCTCCTGAAATTTCTTTGAGGTCTCTAATTCACATCATGAGAGTGTGGTAACAGAGTTTGACCAGGTTCTTCTTACTTTGAATTCAATAGCTATCTGGAGAAAAAGCTCTCTGAGCTTCTTTACTAATCCAAATTTCCTCTTGAAGCTTCGAGAAAAACATTTCCATTTTCAGCTTTTCAAATTCCTTAAATTTTTTGTGTCAGTCAGTGGTTATTGGGTAATGTAAGCCTCATAAATATTCCAAATTAATTTTAGAAACTTAAGATCCAATATTAGCATGTGGAATATGTTGCTAGAGAATGGTAGGTTGATGTTTCTAGAGAGCTGGAAGAACGGGGGGAATCTATTCTTAGGTTATGATTCTTAAGCTTAGACTCTGAACTGTCAATGGAGATTGAGATCAGTACTTATTCCTCTTTTGGGTCCTTATATTTTGCTTTACCAAAAGACCAGATGAGAAAAGGGTCTCAAAGTGGAAATAAGGAAGCATGTTTTTTACATAAACCTCAACGCTTGGTCATATATGCTATCAAAGGCTGAGAAAGAATTTTAGAACTTAGTTTATTGTACTTGTCTTCCAATTAAGCTGCAATTAGCCAGACTACTGTATAATTTAAAAGATACATTTGTTATCTTTGGGAACTTGAGGTTACTAAATCATTAACAGCTGTCAAGATGGAAAAGACCAATTGTCTTTGGAGGTTAGTTCTTTGCAGTGGAAGAATTTGGATTTTCTGGTTCAGCCCATCTGATGAGAAGAATAACTCACAAACACGTTAGCTGGTTGTACAGAATGAATAATTTTACCAGAGTATGATATTATTAAGAGTGAAGCTAAATTTAAGAGGCTTAAATTTTTTCATCAGCTGAAAAAAATAGTTAAATAAAGAACATAAAGCCAGGCATGGTGGTACACTCCTGTGATCCCAGCACTTTAGGAACCTGAGGCAGAAGGATAGCAAGTTCAAGTCCAGGCTGGGCAGCTTAGTGACCTCCTAGTAAGACCTCGTTTCAAAATTTAAAAAGGGCATGAGGTCCTGAGTTCAATCCTCAGTACTCAAAAAAACCAAAAAAGTCACAATGACTGTCTCCTTTCTTCCTGATGCCAATTGAGGGGACACCCTGCACCACTTCTGTAACTGCCTCGTGTACTGTGCTATGTGATCGCCTTGCTGCCCTGTGAACAGGTTTTGCTTTCTTGACTGATATTATAAATTGCTTCATGTTCATGTCTCAAATTTAATTTTAATATTTAACTTTAATGTCTTAGCAATATTTACAATTCATAACATTTTAGTAAAATATATTGTATCTATGTATAGTAAAATATATTGTATTGTATGTATAAATCTGTAAGTATTTATTAAGTGTATTGTTTTCAGTGCTTCAGATAACAGCAGATTAAAAAAAAATCCTAGGGCCGGGGATTTAGCTCAGTGGTTCCATTGCCTCCCCCTGCAAGCACAAGCACCCGAGTTTGCTCCCCAGTACCAAAACAAAACAAAACAAAACCCAAAACAAACAAAAAAATCCTTCCCTTTATCTTCATAGACTTTACATAAAGTTCACTTTAACAAATATATCATTATGTGATTATTGAAATTTTATGAGATCATGATCCCTCAGTTCCATTAAGAGATATGGTGACCAAGTTATATGTCTATATTTTCTATTTCTTATATGTCTATGTCTGTATTTTCTATTTGAAGAAACTTAAATTCAAGACTGATAAATTCATATTTAATTGGAAAGGAAATAGGGAGTCTGGTTGTTTTGTACTGTTTCACACTGTTGTGCAAGGGATGGAACCTAGGGCTTGTGAGCCTGAATCACGGGCTCCTCTGTGAAGCCCCACCCCCAGAGCCCTGGAGGACCTCATGAGGACAGCACTGTCCCTCAGGCCACAGGACAGTAGCATGTAGATGGTCTCCACCACCGTGTTTCCTGGCTCATTATCACAAGGTCGCTCTTCTAGTATACTATTTCCTTCTGAGTCCATCACTTACCTGGACTTGCCAAATCTCTGAGAGCCCCCAGTTTCAAGCCTCCCACTTGGAGATGCCTAGGGCCCTGCAGGTGGCCATGGTGAGCAGCCATGAGCTTGTCCCCACCCGGCACAAACCTAGCAACTGTCACTTCATCAGAGTGCATCCCTGACTACTCAGCCTAACATAGCAGACGCCTCTCATTCCCTTAACCTGTCTTATATTTGTTTGCAGCCCCTGTCACCAATTGATATGATATAATATTTGCTTTATTGCCTCTTTCTTTCCACTAAAAAGAAAACTTGACAGCAGGGTCTCTGTTCATTGTGTTGAATAGGGCCTGGCAAATAGTATATGCTCAGAATCTATCAATTGAACGAATGACCACTTTGCTCTGCACATTCAGCCTGCGAACACCATGGGATGCTGTGCCGTTGCCTGGCAACCAACTTTGGGGATATATATCTGATCAAAGTTTACTTTCGGTATTTCCTTGTAGTTTTATATAGTTTTGTGGTCAGAGTTAAAGATAGCTTGCCGTGTAAGGAGGACAAGAGGGAGAGTGTGATGAAGAGGCTTCCAATATCCACAATGAGATGACAGAGAATTAGATACCAATGCTGTACTATTGGGTAATTAACCTAGTAAAGCAAAGTAGGTGAGAGCCACAGGAAAAGTAGATATGTGCATATGCTTTCTGACCCTGGGGGATACATAATTAAGCAATGGGGTTCCTGGATTTTGGTAAACAGAATTTCCTCTGTGCTGTTTGTAAAAGATGAAACGGTGTTCTAAATTTTGACTTATCTTTGTTTCTCAGGGGATGAATTTGTTCCTGTTAACCCTGTAGGTTAGCCATTCCTTGTAAACTACAGCTGCAGTGGTTACCATCCAAGTGTGGTTGACACTCCAGTCCTTCTTGCAAAACATTCAGTAAATATTTGGGCCTTGGACTTAGCTAGTTTTGCAAATTCTATCATTGTTTACCAAGTGGAGGTCAGGGCTCTACCACTCCACGTAATGGACTCATAGCAATTGACCTTTGAAGAAGGTGGGCATCTTTCATAGAGGATGCAAGGTCCCTCAAGATGTCAACAAAAAGCCTTTACAAGAACCCATTCTATGTAGCTTTAACTTAGGACTATAGTGCAATCACACTAGGGCAACAAACCACCTCAAGCAGTTAGAATGTAAAATAAAGATCCCAATCTCATAGATATTTTGTTTGTCTTCATTCCAAAGTGCAGGATAAAGCAAGTGTGACTTTAATCAGGATAAGATGAATTGTTTTGTAGCTGAAATAACATTTTTCATTTTTCTTACCCTCTCTTTGGGAATGTATACTTTGTTGCAAAAACAGTTTGCATGGAAAAACAAGGAGGCCTTTTGTCAGAGAGCTGCCCCTTGGCACCATAAGCCCACCTCTCCTGCAAAGCTTAGAAGCTTCCTTTCCTAGAGCATCTCCTTGGAAGTATAACTTGACCCTTCTGTAAGTTCGCTTTTGACCCAGCCAGTGGCTGCTGTCCTGTCGTCCCTCTTCCTTGTGCCTCTGGGTTTTCTGTCTTTGATTTACATAATAAAAGTAAAAGCACATTGTTTGTAGACTACCAACAAAACATTTTCACTTTCCATCAGCTATTTTTATCCACAAAGCAAATACTCTGACAATGTTGGTGTCCCGAAGGGGTATTTTCACTGTGAGAGTGTACTGGTTTTCAGTCTGCCAGCAAATCATTTGCTTTTTGCCTCATTTGAGGAAATCCAGTTCTGAGGAGTCAGGCCACAGATTTAGCTTAGACTATGAATGGTTTACTTAAAAAAGGCCCTTCATTATCAGAATCCTTGGAGCTTCCTACCCCATATGGGCTTCTTGCTATAACCTACTGAGAGAATTCAACTCATCAGGAGCTATTGAATTCAAATCACGAGGTCAGCATGGAAATCTGCTTCCATCTTAAACTGAACTGAAAACAAGCTAATCATAAAAAATTAAAACATATGTCTGAGAAAGACTGTAAAAGATCATCTAACCAACTTTAACCCAAAAGAGGAGATAGATGGATAGATTTAAATATATGTTCATACAATCACGCACACATTTATACACATATACATATTATTTTTTAAATCAATAAACTTTGCTAAAACCCTGTTCAATCAGAGCACAACTTTGATTCTCAGGACACTTTGTCTCTGTGCATCATTTTAGATGAAGAACTGCTTTGTACTTGGCAAGTGTGGGTTTGGGCCTGATGGAATTAAATCCCTGTTCTGGCACAGCGACTTTGCTTATATCACAAAATCCCTCCATGTCTCTCCTCATTTATAAGATCATATTTCCCTCCTACGTTTGTTATAGGATTAAATGAGAGAATACACAAAACAAAAATAACTAAAGTGCACTGCAACGTGTCTTCAAAATCGAGCTGTCTACCGCTGCTTCAGGACTAGATCATTTATCACTAGGTCAGAGAACTGTCTTCATTGATGAGCCAATCAAATTCAAGTTCAGCAAATAATTTTGGAGCAAAGATGAGCAAAACAGGAGGCCCACAGAGGGAATTACCAATTTACAGGAAGACCATCAGTAATACATGGAAATCAGGACACAATTAGATGATAGAGAATTTGGGAAATTATTACTCTAGCAAACAAGACTGCTGGCCTCTGACTCAAATTAAATTATTTTGGCTTACATAGTGCATATGCCATTTTCTCAGAAAATAGCCCTAGAAGCACAGCACATCTGATTTAATAAATATTTTTCTTTCCTGGAACCCATTAATCATTTATCATTTATCAGAGAAAAAGTTGACCAAACATAGAGGAGAACAACTAGTTAAAATTTAATAGCCCTAAAGTGCGCTAGACAATACAGAGCCAATGTAGGTCACTAAATCACTGTTGGCCATTTTTTTTCTCAGGTTATCTTGTCTAATAAGATTGTGATTTAGAATTTGAGGTTGTGGTCAAAAGTAAATCTCTTTTAAAAATATCCTGAGAATGCATCTCAGATTCCAATGCAAGTCAGTAAAAAGCCAAGAAGAGAAGCACTCCAGTTCTAAAATGGGATAAGACAGAATTTGTGATATCCTTCATTTACCAATCTTGTACACACTATGAACACTAGTATATCTAATTAAACTTTATGAAAAAGACAAAAGCCCAACCTGTGACTGTATGAATTATTACCTTAAAGTCAACAAGACAGTGTCTTATGTTCATTGAGAGAAGATACATGATGTCACTATGCTGTGTGACACATTTTAGTTGAATACAGGCACTGGTAGGAAAGTACATCTCTCATACACCACCTAGCTCTAGCATCACTTGGTCTCTGATTTCTAGAATTAATTTAGGAGGAATTTTCATGAATTATCCAATGAGTGCTTTTTTGTCTGGGCAGTGATAGAATGCTTTTTTTATTATTCATTTAACAATGGGTCTTGAAAATTTTTCCCTGTGAGTAGATGAACCACTTCATTCTTTTAAAGATTGTTTTGTATTCTTTTATGTGATATTCAGTCATAAATTTGAGCATTACCCTTGCCAGAGTCACTTACTTTTGTAACTTGAAAGTTTTAAAAGGTATTAAAGTATAAACTTTAAAGGATGACTTTCAGCCCAATTCAATTGAAGTGATCAAATAATTATAGACTGTTATGCTAGAAGCTATGGTCATAAAAGTGAGTTTACATCTAATGGGATTGATACAATATGTATAGGTATAATATAAAGTTGCTATAAAAGGGTAGGACTGACTGCCAGGAGTTTGTTTTTTGGGGGTGTAGATGGTTGATGAAATAGAACGTTGAAGTTGTGTAGGATTTTGACAGTCAGAGATACAGGAATGTGAATGAAGGCAAACTAGGCAGAGAAAAAGTTACACAGGAAAAAAAAAAAACAGCTACAACTGTATAGTACACAACAGGGGGTGTTCTGTGATTCAATTTGATTAGACTAGATAGAGGCATCCTTTAGGAAATGGCACCAAAAGAGAAAAGCAGTGAGGGTAGGAAGAACGTTTTTGTGATGTTTATATTCACTTTGATGGGAAGTGGGGAGACACTGAATGTTTGTAAGCTGGTGCCTGTCATGAACAGCTACATTTGAAGAAGCTTTGTTTATAGGAAGATTAAAGGAAGATCAACAAGTGGATTGGAGCAGGCAGTGACTGACGTGGAGGAAAGGAGAAAAGGCTATGTTACCAGGCTTTTAATAAGCTGGTAGTATGGTGATATGATTAGTAATAACTAAAAAGCTAAAGAGAAAAGACAAGGAATCTGGTTCTTAAGGATTCATATCATTATAGAAATTATTGATTAGTTGCATGACATGAACCTTTTGTGTTTTCAGTGCTATGGATCAAACCTTGGGCCTTACACATACTAGGTAAGTGCTCTACCACCAAGCTACAACTCCAGCCCAAACATTTATCTTTGTTTTCAATTCAAAACATAAATATGCCTTTGAAAAGACTTAGAATCAAACATTCAGGTGTTAGTGTTTCCTTCAGACTGGATATATTTCTCCTACTAAGGTAGTTCATCGACTTTCACAGTAAGTTTGCAATCAGAGGAGGAAATGAGTGATCATAAAAGTCAAGGACATTAATAACGGTGTTAACGTACAATTGTAAATTATCAGCAGGTGATGACAGAGATCTTTCCCTGTCACACAAAGAAGCTCTGGGGTCAGGACAAAAACGTGGCCTTTCTCTGACATCTCAGGTAGTCTCTTTTCCTCTCACTGAAGGTCAAATATTTGGGAGGTAGATTTTCCCAGCCCCTGCCTTCCATACCCAGGTTTTCCTCTGAGAAAACAAGAGGGCTTGGGCCCCTTTCCCTCGGTGGCAGTGGGGTGCCCTGTCAGATGGTTCTTCCTGTCAGAGAGACAGTGAAGCTGGAAAGCTAAGTAGGAAGGGAGAGCCTAGAATATGGCCACAGAGAGGGGCAGGGATACATATCTGGCCTCATCTTCTTCTGGGAATATGGAATTGGTCTATGGGGGAAGACAAAGCCACCTACTCCTATAGCCACAGGTTAAAAATAATTAATGTTACCTCACCCTCGGGCTAAGAAAGGTCTTTAGTAATTGGGGTGGGGGTGGAAGGCCCATTGTAAGCATGGCTGGGTTTGTTCTAGTAGAGGTCAGAGCTCTGTGTTTGCTGTCTAGGCCACGTCCGGGAAGAAGTGTCACACAGGCAGGTCCTTCCCTCAGCAGTGGCTAATGCTTCACTCGCCTCTGGAGATGATTCTGGATCAGGGAAAAAGGATTGGACCAAGCCAAAAAGGAGGAGTTTAAAGCTGTGTGCAGAATCTGGGAATCTGACCAGGCATAAGTTGGAGCCAGAATGAGGAAAAAGCGACGGGAAAGACATCCCCACCATTCTGGTAAGAAGCCCCGTGATCAGCGCTAGCCACTCCCGGTCTCCTCCAGCCCTGCCACTTACATAAAGGGACAGGAGGAGCCCAGGAGGTCACAGAGCTGACAGTACAGGCCTCGGCGCTCTGGGCACCCACACACCATGAGTTGGTCCTCGCATCCACGGAGCTTTATTCTCTGCTTCTCCCTGCTCTTACTGCTGTCTTCAACATGCCTGGCAGTAAGTGTGCTGTTCATAAAACATATTTTAAGTGGGAAGCTGAAAAATAAGTAAGTCTGGTAAAGTAGTGAAATATCTGTATTTTTCTCTTTTAGTATGTCGCCACCAGAGACAACTGCTGCATCTTAGATGAAAGATTTGTAAGTTATTTTTATGTTATTTGCTTTCTGTTTTAACTAGAGAGGGAAGCAGAATTGAAACAATTATTTTACAAATAGCATTTGACACTTCAAAGTTTGCAAAAATACAGTTGCACTTTTACTTTTTTCTTGAACAGATTTTAAGTGGCGCTTTTATCAAGATGCTTAATCACTGCATTGTTCTTCCTCAGGGTAGCTTCTGCCCTACCACCTGTGGTATTGCGGATTTCCTGTCCACTTACCAAACGTCTGTACACAAGGACCTCCAGGCCTTGGAGGACATCTTTCATGATGCAGAAAACAAAACGACAGAAACCAAAGAACTGATCAAGGCGATCCAAATCAGCTATGACCCTCATCAGCCAGCAAAGCCAAGTGAGGGACTGGGAATGACTGAAGAAGTCACCGAAGAAATTCTTCTGCGGTTGTTTTGGTCACCCTGTTTGCTAAAGTGTTGTTCTGTCTCTGATCCCACATTGCAGATGCAATAGAGACGGCTACGCAGAATTCCAAGAAGATGATGGAGGAAATTATGAAATATGAAGCATCGATTTTAACACATGACTCGAGTATTCGGTAAGCATTCTGGTTTTAATTTGCTTTCCAAGATGGATTTAGTTTTTATTTATTATTGCATATTCAAGTGAAAGTAATCTAAGGGGTTTAAAATTTTTTTATAATATCCAATTGATGGCCGGGGATTTAGCTCAGTGGTTCCGGCACCTGCCTTACAAGCGCAAGGTCCTGAGTTCCATCCCTGGTACCAAAAAACAAAACAACAACAACAACAACAAAAAATCCAATTGATGTTATGCTTATCTTTAACCCGCAAATGGGTGGTAAGAAATAAGCAAGTAGAAGGAGGATATTGACTATTAAATTATATTGAAGGAGGACCAGAAAAACAGATCTAAAGAGATTAAGTTCAACAAACTGTTGCAAAGCTATGTGTAATCATGTGCACATAATCTGCGGTTATGTATTCTTCTCCTTTTGTAAGCAAAGCTATGTGTAAGTTACGCTTACCTAACTTGTACACATGATTATGTATTCTCCTCCATTTGTAAGCAAAAAGTCCCTGTTACTAGCTTGCCAGGGACTCGAACTCTGATCATGGAGTCCCAGACACAGTTTTAGTCTCTCTCCCAAGGTTTTTCCTAAATCAAACTCACAGCAGACTGAGAAACTGTGATCAGTGGTGGCTAGGGAGAAGCAGCCCAGGAGGGATGTGTCCTCTTTTGGTATCAAACAGCCATTATTGTCCTTGTCATGATTATTATCATTATAATCAGTATTATTATTGCCCATCATTGAAACTGAAGGAGACTATTGAGCAGAAATTGTCTAAAACCAAGCAGAGAAAGTGGTCCAATAGTTTGTCTCCCTTTTTATGTTTCAAAGAAAGACATACAGGTTTATGCATTCTAGATAGTCCTCTATCATCTCTGAACATTATAAGCATAGAAACTGCAAACACGGGTTTTTACTAAAATTCCTGCAGCCTTTTCTAAAGCTATGTTACTAGAAACACTAAGAAGAATGAGAAAATGTCTATTTTATTTTATATATGATAATGCCTCATCTACCTTTCTCATGTAAGTTATCGACTTACATGAAGCCCTCAAAAGGACCCTCAGTAGGCTCACATGGAAAAGGAACAAGGCTTCAGCACGTACGGATTACTGCTTCTGAATCCTCAGCTTTCCTCTTACCCAGCCATATCCTTCATGTAGGTTCTTATCTGCTGCCCCATGTGTAAGGTAAAAGGTAGAATGACCATTTACAGTGACCTTTGTTTATTGACAATGACTTTGTTATTTGTGTTCAGAGTTAAGACCGTTCCATAGCGAAAGACCATTCTAAGACCATTCTAAAATGGAGTAAACTTCATTCTAGGTGAAGGGATTCAGAAAAATTATATTCCTTTTTTAATTGACTTTGGGAGGGGTTTCTAAAAACCCTAATATTTTAATTCACTTTAATTTAGTAACATAATTTTACAGTTTTCCCAAAAAGGGACTGATTTACTAGGAAAGTGTTCTTGAAAGACTAAGGTAGCATTTCTAAGAGAAAATACAGAATTGATCTTCTGAAAGGAATATCTTATCTCCTGTTATCTTATTATTCCATTTGTAGATTTTTGCAGGAGGTATATAATTCCAATAATCAAAAGATCAATAACCTGAAGCAGAAGGTGGCCCAGCTGGAAGCACAATGCCAGGAGCCATGCAAGGACACAGTGAAGATTCATGACACGACTGGGAAAGGTGAGCAGCTTGGGTCAAATTCATCAAACTGAGGAGTTTGTGTGTGCCGGTGTGGGTGGATGGGAATCCCTGGGAAAGCATCTAGACCTTCAACCTAAGGATTCCAGTTGCCCGGACTTTTCCGGAGGAGCAAACAATAGTTTGGAAACGATGATGATATGAGAAAAAAATACTTCTTGGGAAATGAATCATTTACTACAGGTTCAGGACTCACTTTTGAGGCTGGCGCAGTCTCACCAGGTCTCAAGCCATAGCAAAGGTTTCCCTTCTCCTTCAGACTGTCAAGACATTGCCAACAAGGGCGCCAAGGAGAGCGGACTTTACTTCATCAAACCTCTGAAGGCGAAGCAGCAGTTCTTAGTCTACTGTGAGATCGAGGGAAATGGCAACGGGTGGACTGTGCTGCAGAAGGTAGTGTCCTCCTCCCGTGTGGACGTCGTCAGTGCCCACGTGCTCCCCGGCAGGGCTTTTCTAAGCCCCTTGGAAACCTTAACCCTCTTAACCACACCACGGCCCCAGGCGGTGTAGATACTGCTATTGGCCTCACTCGCAGAGGGGGAAACTGAGGCGTGAGCCGTTATGTAACTTGCCCCAGATCATGTAAGTAATAAGTGGCAGGTCAGGATTTGAATCCGATCAGTCTGGTTTCAGAGTCCATGCTTCGACTCAAGTCGGTGCTGGCAAGACTGATGCAAATTCACGATGGCGCATACGCCAAGTCCTTCGGTGGCAAAGGAATAGAAGCGACCTCATTCGCCGGGGATCAAGATCTACTCCTGCCCATTACACCGAGATGTGGCCCCTCCCTAAAGGATGTAGTTGGGGCTCCTGCCGGTCTCTGGCACCCCTGTGATGTAGCTCCTTTCTCCTGTCTCCCTGCACTGCTACAGTTCCTCCTCCTCCTGCAGGGGGCGCTCCAAGGGCAAGCGTGATCGCTGCACGGCAACACGGAGAATCCCTACCAGGCTGGAGCTCTGAAGTCCTCTAGGGTCCTGTTAAAAACCTACCGCTAATTTAGAATTTACTATATGCCTGGCAGTCTTTTAAGTATTTCCTTTATGTTCTCTCATGTAATCCTCACTGCAATCCTGAGAAGTTAGCATAGTTACTCCTATTTGATAGTTGAGGAAAAAGAGGCCTTTGGCCACTTAATTGGTAGTTGATAGAATCCTACCTTCCATATTTTCGATAGAACCTTGACAATATTTCCTATATGTGAATTGATAACCTGTCCTCTCCTCTCACTCGTGCCCTTGTGTAATTAGAGGCTCGATGGCAGTGTCAATTTCAAGAAAAACTGGATTCAGTATAAAGAAGGTTTTGGACATCTGTCTCCTACTGGCACCACAGAATTCTGGCTGGGAAATGAGAAAATTCACTTAATAAGCACACAGTCTGCTATCCCATATGCATTAAGGGTGCAACTCAAAGACTGGAGTGGCAGAACCAGGTACTGTGGAGAGAAGACTTCTAACATTTGTGGCAGGGGTCATCTGGGATGTGCCCTTTCTGCCTTTCATCAGACCCGTGGCAAACACAGCCTGAAAAAAGCAAAGAGCATATCCAGTAGTCACTTTCCCCAGGAATGAGATTAGTTCTTGGGCTGTCCAAAGAGATATATTCTTTCCAGGATGGATCTGATTATTGTGGTATAATTTATTTACCCTGGAAACATGCAGACGCATAGCTAGTTACTGATCTTTTGATAGGTACCAGAGGTTGAGCATGAAATTAAATTTAATCTGATCCAAATAACTATTTTAAGAGGAAGGTATTATTATTAATCACAGTTTACAGATTAACTTGCTCAAGGTCACATTGCTGGTAAATGATAGAGATGGGACTTGAAATCAGGTAGTTTGACCCTGGAGCCCAGCCTCTTCATGACTATCTTTGTTGAAAAGTGAATTCAGCCTCTTTGGATTTTCTGTTCATTGGTCACTCATCCTGTCAAATCTTAGGTTGCCCTGAAATTAAATATGCCAGCTCCTTTGGTGGTCTAGAGCTCCCTCTAGGAACAGACATACATGGGGTCTGTGAAAAATAGCCAACCCTCTTCTTATGCTTATGGAATAATGAAGCATATTCTATCACCAAACACATGGGATATTTTTCACCCAGAAAGTATCATAGTTAGTAGACCTTCTATGAAAATA